TGCTTATCTCAAACACATACAAGTTATTGCAAATAAGGGAAACCATGGGACCTATGTTTCTTTGGACCTGGCTTACTTCACTTAATATAATTTTTTCCAAGTTTTTCCATTTCCATGTAGACAGAAGGGAACCCTCCTGAATTGTTGGTGGGAGTGCATATACTTTTATTTTCCCTTACAAACATAGAATGTAGTAAAATTTTTCATAGCAATTACACTGCACTAGGTGCTGGGCATATTCTAATGTAAATAATATACTGTGTTTATGCAGAGATTTTGAGCATCCAAAATTTTAATATGCCTGTGGTCCTAATACCAATACCTTATTGATATTGAGTGACAAATACAACTTCTTATAAGTACAGAAGTTTTCCTTGTATCTTTTTAATATATATGTCTTTACTGTGAAGATACTATACAGAGGGGTTACAGTTAAGTAAGTTAATGAGTACATTTCTTATTGAGCACTGTTACCCCCCTCCTTTGTTTTTCCCTTATCAACCCTTCCACTCACACCTCCCCACCTCTTCCCTCCACCCCTCGTCTGATAGAGTGTTTTGTACATCTCATTGTTACTCATTGTAACAATGAAGAAATGCTGGCTTCTTTCATGCTGATTCTACTTGTGTAGACACACCTAAAGTCACCCACCAAGCCCAAAAGCACATAAATGAAATGCATATCATCTTTTGTCAGTTGGTATAATTGTGTTCTACACATTTATTGACAGGTTACAAATTATTTCAAACTTTAATGCATTAAAATGTTTTCTGCCGTGGAACGGCTCTGTCGGGACGACGGAGGACACCTAATGGAGGTAACTGGAATAGGTGGGGAGATGGCAAACAGACAACTCACACACAAGAGGAGTGAATGCTGAGTGTGATTTATTGCAGAGGACAACAAGCTTTTATAGAAAAACTCTCCATGAGAAAGGGCAAAAGGTTACACAATCTTGCTGCAAGGCTTTGTTCTGGGGTGGTCACCAGCTGGTTGCCTGATCTTGTTTTTTGGATGATGAGCTATGAAGATAGGCACTTGTTTTCGGCTTTACCTCTATTTTTAAGAAATAAAATTGGTTTCGATGTTTATCACCTATTAACCATTAACCAGAGCATATGGGCAAGGTGCTGAACAGAAAGGCATGAACTCTAGTACTTCATAGTTACTTTTGCTTAGTTTTGTACTTTATGCATTTCAAATCTTGTCTAAGCAATTGTGCTTCTTTGCCATTCTTTAGAGGGTCCCCAATTTGTGGCCAAAAATCATGACAGTCAGTATATTTAGTTAAATCTGGCCATATATCAAATTCAAGCTCATAGTGTCTTTTCTGTAACCCTTTCACATAATCGTTTACTCTTCTCCATAGAGGCCTTAACTGTCTCATAAGAGCTTTCTTGTTCCTTCTTTGATAGTAAGCACCAAGGAGGCCTAGATCTAGCAAGTCTCTCAGTAAATAAAAGAGTAATAGGAAGTTCTTTCTCCTAAGTAGTTTTCCCAACGTTTGCCATCCTTATCATACACACCTGTAAAAGGCTATGGATCTGGGGGAAGTCTTTGGGGTCCTCTAGATAATGGAGGATCCCACTATTTTCCCCTGATAAGTCATTGCCACCTTCCATCTACCAAAATTTTAGGAATCTTATTTAGCTTTTGATCTATATATCCCTCTACATCTTTTTTATCTACAGGATATCTATATGAGTCTATTGTATATGCTTTAGGATTAAAGGGAAGTCTCCAATAGCCATACACTCTTTCTGCTCTAGCCGTGCCTACAGCTTCTTGTAAATCTCTTACAAACAATTCCTTCTGCTGAACTGACGTCATGAAACCCCCAATACGTTTATATTTACATATGACTTGTCTAATAGCCTCCATAAGAGGGGCTTTTAGGGTAGTACTTAACTCTGGTGAGTTAGTCATTTTCTCAGGACACTCATCAGATGTTGGAGTCATCAACACTTCTAAGAAAGAGCCTTGAATAAGGGAACATTGAGCATGAGTAAGTAGAACAAGCAGCAGGAACAGTAAAAGATTAGTAGGCACTCCTATACAGCGAAGAAAAAAACAGGAACACATCTTTCCCAGGGGCTTGCCAGCCTTTCCAGGAGGTAGGCCTCTTTGAAGCCCCATTCTCAGATCTGAAAGCATGTTTCCCATGCTAAGCAGACTCCACCGGAGTACGTGTGGCAGTTTTCTTTCTTATTTTCTTGACCAATAAATCCGCAAGACCTCAGTCAGCATTTCTCACATAGGACTTTTCAAATGGGTTGGTTAAATATTGACCTGAGCCCCAGTCTTCTGAGGACTCACTCATCTGCTTAGGAATTGATGCTGGCTCTTGGAAAAGAGCTCAAGGAAGGATGCCATTTAAAGCCTTATAACGTTATTCTTTACCAGAGTATTCTCCAGCTACTTTGGTTGTTGAGAATGTCTACAAAAGCAAGCATTCTGTTGGAAACAGGGAGACACCATATGACCATTACTTAATGAGATTTCCAAGTGGCTTGCTATCACTTGTACTGCATTTTGCAAGTTGAATCTGTCAAAACCTATCAGTTTTAAGAGATAAGAGGAGTGGTAAAAGTACTTCTAGAGAAAAATGCATCTTCAACATATTTGGTTCCAAGCATTCCGTCTAAGGCATATTCAACAAGTAGTGAAACTTGTGTTGGCTGTAACTATGTGTCTTTCTCCATGTATACATGTGTGTATGTATGTGTGTATTCATGTGTATAGGAGCATACATGTGTACATATATAAGGGCATATACACATATATATGCAAATATAAAATTATACATACATAATATATGTGCGTATATATCAGCTGTTCAGTGATTTAAGCTATAGTTCCCGCACATTGTCATTCACACAAAGTGTACATGATAAACTGCTCTGAGGATCTTTGCTCTAGATGGTTGTCCTTTGTACTCACTTCTGCCACTACTTTGTTTTTCATCCCTGCTACAGGGATGAAAATCTATCCATAGGATAGCTTTATTTTCATTACATGTATTTGCTTACTGATAATAAAAGAAACAGGTTATTTATAAAAGAAAAAGATCTTTTAGGTAACAGGATAAAGTATCTTATCCATCCCAATGATTCCTATGAGATAAAATTTATAATAATAGTAAAAGTGAAAAGGAATTTTTAGATCTGTTGTTTTGCCATTTAGCATTGCAAAGAATAATATTACATGACTGCTATAACTCTTAAAGAATGCCATTGTAACTGATGGTCCCTATCATGTTCTCACAAAACCAGTGGATCCTGAAAGATAATAGTACACCAGCAGAAATGCTAAGTAGCAGTCATGGAGCATGAACGAGAAAGCAAGTGAAAGAGATAGAGTGAAAGATAGAGAGAAATATCATAATACTGAAAGTGCATAACAGATAAATAAGAGCTATATGAGAATATTCATACAGCTATTTTTAGATTCTACATGTACATTTGAAGGTATTTAATGTACAATAACCCACCAACATAAAATATAATGTGCTTTAGATAAAAAAAACTAAAAATGACTCAAGAAATTAGAATTGCAAAAACAATTTTCACAGAAGCAATCTCTCAGAGATATTTCATGACTTTGAGAATAATAAAGTGGCTGAAGTTAATATAAATTAAGTAGTATGATAATTCACAAAAATATAAAAAGATATTCATATATTTCAATATATAACCCAAAGCTAAAACAAATGTTCTTTAGATGATTTTTTTAAAACACAGTTTCTCAAGAACTGGGAAAGTGGCTCAATGGTATATAGTGCTTGCCTTGCATGCATGAGGCCCTGAGTTTGATTCCTCTGCACCACATAAGCAGAAAAAGATGGAAGTGGTGCTGTGACAAAAGTGGTTACGCTAGCCTTGAGATGAATAGCTGAGGGACAGCACACATGCTCCAGATTTTAAGCCTCATGACCAACAAAAACAGAAAGAGAACAAAACACAGTCTCTCATTTTTGTGGCATCAACTCTGTAATATGTCAGCTTCACCCTAGGGCTAAGATTTTAGGTGTGGAAATTTATCAACACTCCTGATTCAGATTCTACTTGATAAAATTTTTAATCAATATTTTGTTCTTAAATTTGCTATTTGTAAACTCGCATGCACCTATAAAAATGGTTGACCATCCCAGTAACCTTCTCAAAATACCTCCAAAAGACAACTTACAAAACTGTATTATATTACTACAAGGAAAACAATGCTACAAATAAATAAAACCAACAATTAAATATTCATAATTAATAAAATGAAAAATAAATCAGTTACGTGTTTCCAGTATTTGAAGTATACTACATATTAGATTTTACTATATTCTCATATTCCTGTACATTTAAAACTGGCTAAGATTATGATGTTCAACAAGAGTTTTATAGGCTATGAGTAGTCTTTAAAGTTACCCAGTAAGATTACTATTTATGGCTCATCTCGTCATTTGTATATGGCTTATATCATCACTTGTTCCTCGCTAACATATAAAGTAAGGAAGCTCTAAATTGTAGTTAACAAATTCTTAACTCTTTACTCTGCTTCTTTACACAAAGGCTTTGCAACTTCTCATTAGTAAAGTTTTTATAAACTCTGAAATGTAAATACTTAGTAATATATGTCTGCTACCATAAATCTTAACTACTTCATGGAAAATTTTTATGACCTGTGAAACAGTCCCTATTTTGGCATATTTAAGCAAATTCCCAGAATTAAACACATTTAAAGCATTAAAACTTTAACAAACCTTAACCCTTGCTGCAATGTTCATTATGACAGGTGCCTTGTAGAGAATAATTGAACTCCTCCTTCTACACATCTCTGGAACCACAAATATTTGGAATTACTTTGTTTTTGACATATCAATTTTTAGTTTCTTCTTAAATCTGTGTTTATGTAAGAAATACATATTTCATGACCATTCTTTTGTATTTACTTTTTGTTGAATTGTCTAGTTTAAGAAAATCAATTACACTTTATATATAAAAAAATGTTCTGTGCTCAATTTGGCAGCACATACCCTAAAACTGGAATGATACAGAGAAGATGAGCATAGCTCCTTCGAAGGATGACACACAAATTCCTGAAGCGTTCAATATTTTTACAAGGACAGATGCTGGAGTGAATGTGGCCAGAAGTAAACACTACTGAATTCTTGGTGAGAGTGTAAACTTGTTCAACCCCTTTGAAAAGCAGAATGGAGGTTCTTCAAAAGATTCCACATAAAGCTCCTCTATGACGCAGCAATCCTTTTTTTGGGCATTCACCCAAATGATCAGAAACAAGACCATACTAAAACTACAAGCACAACTATGTTTATTGCAGCATTATTTAGCATAGGTAAGATATGGAACCAACCCGATGCCCCTCAGTACATGAATGGATCAAGAAAATGTGTGTGTGTGTGTGTGTGTGTGTGTGTGTGTGTGTGTGTGTGTGTAACTGTGACCCCTCTGTACAGTACTTTTACAATTAAAAACCTATAAAAATGTTCTGAGATGGAAGAGTTTATTCCCCCAATTTTATCCATATAATATCGTTAACAAAGCAGATTTTTAAATACTAAGTAGAATGTGATATGTATTACAGAAACCATTACATGTAATGAGCAACCAGAAATAATGTTATCAATTGACTATGCACTGCTTCCAAGGAAGCCAGATGGATAATTTCTCATGCTGTAAATCAAACTGTTGATCTTATGTCTTGATAGTGTAAAAATATCAGGGACAGATTGTTGTAGACTGAGGTGAAATCATATGAAAATATACAAACCTGATAAAACATATAAGTATCTGAGCAGTATATTGTGTTTTAAATCATTTGTGTTACATTGCAAAGATAATGAAGACCTATTAGAATGAATTATCTTTTTGATATCCTATCGTAGGTCCTTAGAAGGATGAACTCTTTCCTCATTCTTATAGAGGCTTTATCAGATGAGAGGAACTGTATTTTTTGTTTGCTTCCTTCCATTTATTCGTCACTCTGAAATATGAGCTACATGATACTGAAATACACCAAGGAAAATTAAACACACAGGCTTTGGAAAGATCAATCAATGTAAAATAAATAAAATACGTATAACCTTGTAAAAGGTCTAAATAAATTAATTTATATAATCTCAAGTGTAAACAGAAAATGATTTAAGCAATGTCATGTAATTGAAAAATGAAAATTTTTAGGCGATACTTAATTTTTTCCTTTCTACTACATTGAATTAATTATTGATTTTGTATAGAGAGATTAAAGATGAGATTAACAAGAAGCTTGGTTAAAACTGGGCATAAATTCTGAATAGACATGTATTCCAAAATCCATGAAAATCGCCAGTGGGTTTACAAAATTGTGTTTAATGCTACTTCTATGCTGGCTTAAGCTTTGGGAACAGAAGTCATTAGAGAAATGCAATTCAAAATTAATATGATACTCTTTCATAACTATTACAACTATTATTAAAAAAAAATCAAAGGAACCAGTTGTGGTGGCAGTCAATTTGGTCTAGAAACTCCTCTAAGGAGAGAGCAACATGAGGCATTGGCTTAAGTGAGCCGCTCAATATCTGCCATCCAAAAAGGAAAAACAGTGGAGTGAGGCTCAAAGCCATATGCCTTTGGGCTTGGGTCCTTCCCTTGATTATAGCATCTGCAAGTTGGTCTGCCTGAGATTATACCTGAGGTGTGCCCCCAGGGGAGTGTGAACCCACTCTAATGGCTCCCCCCTTTGAATTAAAACTGCAGAAATCAATGTAACACCTCCAAACCACCAAAGGGAAATGGGCTCAAAAATAGAATACCTCTTCAGGAAAACTTCATCCAGGGCTTTTTGGAACTGCAAAAATATTGCCCAATGGCTGTCTGTAATTGTAATAACTTCTTGGGGCGTCCTGCCTTTTAGTAGGGCAAATAAGGCACACACTATCTTTAGGGACAGGAACCCATGGAAACAGCCAATTGGTTTCCCCTAAAAGGCTCTGAAGTTGGGATAAGGTCAGAGAGGTTGGAATATCCAGCAAAGGCTTAAGGAGACTGGCCTGAGTCAAGGTAAGGTGGAACCAGAGCACCTTAAAAGAAGGTAACTTTTGAATTATATTGAGTGCTATGGTGAAGCCCCCCTTTCTTAATATGATGCGAACCTGGGCCAGAAGGCCCTCCAGGTGTCCTAGGTCTTGGTGCCCCACAATTATATCATCCGGGTAGGCAAACACAAGAGAGGTATCTGAACCCAGCACAGGCCCTAAAAGTGTGGCCAAGTATTGTTGGCAAAAGGCCAGGTTATTTGCCATTCCCTGTGGCAGCACCGTCCATTCAAACCTCCAATCAGGCAGGGAAAAATTAAGAGAAGGGATGGAGAAAGCAAACTTTTTACAGTCATCTGGATGCAGGAGGATAGAAAAAAACAATCTTTAATATCAATCACACCAAGGTATATTCTGAAAGTATAGCAGGAGTCCAGGGCATACCTCTTAGGGATGTTCCTACTAGCTCCATCCTTTCATTTACTTTTCATAGATCTTGGAGCTTACACCTAGCCCCAGAAGCCTTTTGAATAACAAATATGGGTGTGTTCCAAGGACTCATAGAAGGGCATATGTACCCAAGGTTTATCTCCACCAGAAGGTGGAGGAATACAAGTTTAGGTTTTATCAATGGCCACCACTCCACCCAGGTAGGGCTTCCTATCTAAATCAAACTTGGATCCACAATTCTTTTTCCAATGGTATCCCTTTCTGCCCCTGGGTCAGGGTATAGGGGGAGGTTAGGCCCCCTAGGGCCAGTTGGCAGGGGATTTTTGTGAACAGTCCCTCTTGCTTCCACGGGATGGTTAGTCACGGAACGTAAAGCAAATTGGGCTCTGCCCACACAACTCCCCCTCAGCGCCATCTTTGCTGCCCATGTGCTCCACAATCAAAGACCTCGGAGTCAAATCTGACACACTAAAAACTTCAAAGGATGAAATAAGTGAAACCCTAGGTCTCCTTGTCACAGGCCAAAATTTTCTTAAAAGAGACCCATAAACACAACAAATTAAACAAAGGTTGGACAAATGGGATTGCATGGAATTGCAGAGCTTCTGCATGGCAAAAGACATAGCTAGCAAGATCACCAGAAAGCCCACTGATTGGGAGAAGATCTTCACTAACCATACAACCAACAAGGGTCTCATATCTACAATATAACTGGAACTCACAAAATTAAATGCCCCAACAACAAATCCTCAAAGAAACAACTGCCCAATAAATAAGTGGGCTATAGACTTACAGAGGAACTTCGCTGAAGAAGAAAGAAGTATGGCCAATAGACACATGAAGAAATGCTCAACTTCCCTAACCATAAGAGAAATGCCAAACAACATTGTGATACCACCTCACTCCAATTAGAATGGCTATAACGAAGAACTCTAATAACAACAGATGCTAGAGGGGATGTGCACAGAAGGGAACCCTACTGCATTGTTGGTGGGAGTGTAAACGTGTTCAGCCACTTTGGATAGTAGTATGGAGGGTCCTCAAAAGACTCCACATAGTGCTCCCCTATGACCCACCAATCCCACTTTTGGGCATTTACCCAAATGATCACAAACAAGAGCACACTAATGGTACCAGCAAAGCTATGTTTATTGCAGCATTGTTTACCATAGCTAAGATTTGGAACCAACCCACATGTCCCACCGTAAATGAATGGATCAAGAAAATGTGGTATATATACACAATGGAATTCTATGCCTCCATCAGAAAGAATGGCATTGCCCCATTTGTTAAGAAATGGAAAGACTTGGAAAAATTATAGTAAGTGAAGTAAGCCGTGCCCAAACAAACATAGGTACCATGGTTTCCTTTATTTGCATAAACTAGTATGCCTGACACAAGCAGAAAAGGTCAGATAAGTTGATGGTAGGCGAAATGAACTCCAAGATAAGGATTCAAATGGTTTTTCTTTCTTGCAATTGTTTCTAACATACTTATGATATGATTTCTTTGTTGCTTTGTATGTCCCTCCCCCACGGTATAACCCCTGCTATCATTGTATTTGAGGTTGATATAATTTGTGGAGGGGTAGGGCAAAAACAAACTGTTTATATAGGGATACAGCTGGACCCATTGCAATAATAAGATGTACAAGATGTTACGTCAAAAAATCAACTTTACAATTTGGCTGGGAGGTGGATTAGGAAGGGGGGGTGATTTGAAGGGATTCAAAGGGGAAACAAAGGAGCAGGCAACAATGCTTGATAAGAAATATACTCATGAATGTTGAATGAAGACTGTGGAAATGAAGCTGGAGGCTATCAATTTTTCGCATAGATAGCAGTTTAGTGTTCCAGTGAACAGTCCTAGCCTAGAGAATCACATCAAGTGTGCGATCACTGTACAGAGAGTTTGGCCAGAGAGGAAAAATCCAGGCAGACCTGAGCACTTGCTTGCAGCTGTGGCAAGGCGTTGGTGGTGGCGGCCATATCCACCCTACCTAAACACAGAGAATCCGGGACAAAGGAGCCAGACCCAGGGGCTAGTGGATTATATTCAACACCAGCAAGAACTGGCAAGGAGCAAATATCTTCATACTGCAGATCACAGACTAAAGATGACCAGGGAACCAACAATCCAGCGTGAGTAGAACCCTGACATCCTCACTCCTTCTCAGGAAGCAGAGGGGGGAAGTCCACCTCTCCCCACCCCCAGCACCAGAGATCTCCATTTTTGATACTGAAAAAGGCCCGGCTGAGGAGCAAGCAACAACTCAGGCCTTGGATGAAAACTGGAGTCATTTAGCAGGTCACAGGAAGCTGACCTGACATTCCAGGCTTAGCTCCACCCAAGGGAAAGTCACCAAGCACAAGCAGAGGATCCGTGGCCCCCACAGGTGTGGCTTTCTTCTGGGTAAACAGAGCCAGAGGCTGCCCCTCTCTACAGCAGCCTAGAAAAACAATTGAAATTCAGTATACATAAACCCTGAGAATGGCTCTAGGCTGGGCTTTGTGAGTATATCAGAAGCTATCCCCTCAGGGAAAAGCTACTGTTTGGTGAAAGGCCTCAACTCTACCCAGAACCTAGCCTCATCACACCATCTCCAAACTAGAGGAAACAGCCATCTCCTTCTTTG